TGTCAGTTGGTGGAACCAGTCTCACATAAGCGTACGTGTAAGGTCGGTCTGGGCCGCTTCATCCCATGATGTCGCCGAATCGAGATAAGACTAGTAATGACAAGTAAATTGACAAAATCGACGCCCACAACAACTTGTGTTCTACTCGTGCATAGAAACTACGCATAGACCTAGCTCATGATGCCACTGTAGGGGATCGTAGCAGAAATTTAAAATTTTCTACGCATCACCAAGATCAATCTATGGAGTCATCTTGCAACGAGAGAGGGAGGAGTGCATCTACATACCCTTGTCGATCGCGAGCAGAAGCGTTCAAGAGAACGGGGTTGATGGAGTCGTACTCGTCGTTATCCAAATCACCGATGATCCTAGCGCCGAACGGACGGCACCTCCGCGTTCAACACACGTACGGAGCAGAGAAGTCTCCTCCTTCTTGATCCAGCAAGGGGAAGGAGAAGTTGATGGAGATCCAGCAGCACGACGGCGTGGTGGTGGAAGTAGCTGGATTCCAGCAGGGCTTCGCCAAGCGCTACTGGAGGAGGAAGAGGTGTCAGGGAGGGAGAGGGAGGCGCCAGGGCTTAGGGTGCGGCTGCCCTCCCTCCCCTCCACTATATATATATGGGCTAGGGGGCGCATGCCCCCTTGGAGATCCCATCTAGAGGGGGGCTGCCCCCGGGGCGGCGGCCCCTCGGGGGGCAACGGCCCCCTTAGGGTTTCCAACCAGGGGGTGCATGCCCCCCTCGGGGGCCAACGGCCCCCTAGGGTTTCCAACCCTAGGCACCTTGGGCCCTTGGGTGGGGCGCACCAGCCCACCAGGGGCTGGTTCCCACGCCACTTCAGCCCATGGGGCCCTTCGGGATAGGTGGCCCCACCCGGTGGAACCCCGGGACCCTTCCGATGGTCCCGGTACAATACCGGTGATCCCCGAAACTCTCTCGATGGCCGAAACTGGACTTCCTATATATAAATCTTTACCTTCGGACCATTCTGGAACTCCTCATGACGTCCGGGATCTCATCCGGGACTCCGAACAACTTTCGGTTAACCGCATACTAATATCTCTACAACTCTAGCGTCACCGAACCTTAAGTGTGTAGACCCTACGGGTTCGGGAGACATGTAGACATGACCGAGACAACTCTCCGTTCAATAACCAACAGCGGGATCTGGATACCCATGTTGGCTCCCACATGCTCCATGATAATCTCATCGTATGAACCACGATGTCGAGGATTCAATCAACCCCGTATACAATTCCCTTTGTCAATCGGTACGTTACTTGCCCGAGATTCGATCGTCGGTATCCCAATACCTCGTTCAATCTCGTTACCGGCAAGTCACTTTACTTGTTCCGTAACACATCATCCCATGACCAACCCTTAGTCACATTGAGTCATTACGATGATGTCTTACCGAGTGGGCCCAGAGATACCTCTCCGCCATACGGAGTGACAAATCCCAGTCTTGATTCGTGCCAACCCAACAGACACTTTCGGAGATACCCGTAGTGCACCTTTATAGGCACCCAGTTATGTTGTGACGTTTGGCACACCCAAAGTATTCCTACAGTATCTGGGAGTTGCACAATTTCATGGTCTAAGGAAAAGATACTTGACATTAGAAAAGATTTAGCAAACGAACTACACGATCTTATGCTACGCTTAGGATTGGGTCTTGTCCATCACATCATTCTCCTAATGATGTGATCCCGTTATCAATGACATCCAATGTCCATGGTCAGGAAACCATGACCATCTATTGATCAACGAGATAGTCAACTAGCGGCTTACTAGGGACATGTTGTGGTCTATGTATTCACACATGTATTACGGTTTCCAGTTAATACAATTATAGCATGAACAATAGACAATTATCATGAACAAGGAAATACAATAATAACCATTTTATTATTGCCTCGAGGGCATATTTCCAACAGCCCTCCCACCCCCACTATTTATAGGGGAAGGGGAGAGGGGGCTGGCCCCCCAGATCCCATCTACAAGGGGGGAGCCAAGGGGGGGACTTGCCCCCCAAGTCAGGTGGGAGGCGCCCCCACCCCCTAGGGTTTCTAACCCTAGGCGCCTATGGCCCCTTGGGGGCCGCACCAGCCCACCAGGGGCTGGTTCCCTCCCTTGTTCAGCCCACTTGGCCCACCGGGGCAGGTGGCCCCACCCGGTGGACCCCCGGACACCTTCCGGTGGTCCCGGTACAATACCGATAACCCCCGAAATCATTCCGGCGACTGAAACAAGACTTCCCATATATAATTCTTCACCTCTGGACTATTCCGGAACTCCTCGTGACGTCCGGGATCTCATCCGGGACTCCAAACAACATTTGGTAACCACATACTATTTCCCATAACAACTCTAGCGTCACCGAACCTTAAGTGTGTAGACCCTACGGGTTCGGGAACCATGTAGACATGACCGAGATATCTCTCCGGCCAATAACCAACAGCGGGATCTGGATACCCATGTTGGCTCCCACATGTTCCACGATGATCTCATCAGATGAACCACGATGTCGAGGATTCAATCAATCCCGTATACAATTCCCTTTGTCTATCGACATGTTACTTGCCCGAGATTCGATCGTCGGTATCTCTATACCTCGTTCAATCTCGTTACCGGCAAGTCTCTTTACTCGTTCCATAACGCATGATCCTGTGGCTAACTCCTTAGTCACATTGAGCTCGTTATGATGATGCATTACCGAATGGGCCCAGAGATACCTCTTCGTCACACGGAGTGACAAATCCCAGTCTCGATTCGTGCCAACCCAACAGATACTTTCGGAGATACCTGTAGTGCACCTTTATAGCCACCCAGTTACGTTGTGACGTTTGGTAAACCCAAAGCATTCCTACGGTATCTGGGTGTTGCACAATCTCATGGTCTAAGGAAACGATACTTAACATTAGAAAAGCTTTAGCAAACGAACTACACGATCTTGTGCTACGCTTAGGATTGGGTATTGTCCATCACATCATTCTCCTAATGATGTGATCCCATTATCAATGACATCCAATGTCCATGGTCAGGAAACCATGACCATCTATTGATCAACGAGCTAGTCAACTAGAGGCTTACTAGGGACATATTACGATCTATGTGTTCACACATGTATTACGGTTTTCGGTTAATACAATTATAGCATGAACAATAGACAATTATCATGAACACGGAAATATAATAATAACCACTTTATTATTGCCTCTAGGGCATATTTTCAACAGGGATGAACTTCTAGTGTTCCTAGTGGTGAGGTAAAATTGGGCGATTTTGTGGATGAAAAAGGTGGAGATGGTGGTGAAAAGCTAGATCCACTCGTAGCAAAGCAAATCCATGGATCAAATCCAACAAAACTTCATCACACCAAAAAATCTTAGAAAAATTTGGGGCTATTTTTGGTGGGGAATTTTCGAATTTGGGGAAGAACACAACAAAACAAGGATATAAATCAAGGGTATGGGCTCCAAATTCGTGATCAACCAAGGTTCATGATACCAAGATTATGTAGGGTAGAATACTAGATGCCCGATCTTTCACGATTGGAGCGGATCCCGCAATGAACACGAAGAATACGAGGATAAAACACGAGGGAAAACACGAGAGGAAACACTCAAACCAACAAGATTCGATTACACATGTGCTAGATCCTCGAAACACAAAGAGATACACGATCCATGATCAACAAGGGACGATACAAGTAGCAAGTTCTTCTCCGCGAGGAGGTCTTGAGGGTCTTCCCGTTAGGGGTCTTGAATCCAAGATGGATCTTCTCCGTAGAGGCCACGGTCTCTCTCGGTGGAGTATATCCAGATGGATGAGCAAGGCTCTATCTCACAAATGAGCTATCACAATGCTGTCTCTAGAAAGAGGAAGGATGAGTATATATAGTCTAAGGAGGCGAAAGGGTACATGAGCCTCGGCCCAACACGTTGTGCACAGACACACGTCGGTCGTCCGGACGCTGTCGGACATCTAGTGGCTCATGAGGGTCTGGACGTCCGGAAGCAGTCAGATGTCCGACATTTCGGCTTGGGTCAGGTGGCGTCGGATTTCCGGAGGCGGTCGGTTGTCCGGTCGTCGGTCATCCGGGGGCTTCGGACTTCCGATAATTTCCCTTCTGTTGGGTGACACCGGATGTCCGGAAGGGCTCGGTCGTCCGGTCGCTGGGGTGTGTCGGACGTACGGCCCGCGTCGGTCGTTCGGCCGCTGTAGCGTACGCAGACTGGGACTTGTCTGGCTGGCTGGCGCTTCCATGCGTCGGACATCCGGTTCAGACCGGTCGTCCAGTGGCTGTAGACTTCTGGCAGCTCTTCTTCTTCTTCTTGTTCCTTGTACTTGGTGTCCTCGCCGTCTTGTCTGTCAGGTGCCGCTGATCCGTGGCCTTCCTCCAAGCACCTGATCACATATAGGGTTTCCGCTTGAGGTAGTAGCCATGTCTCACATGTAGGAAGTGGTAGTTCAGAGAGCAGCGAGTTCACTTTATCTTCGATAGCCTTTGCTCGAGCCCTTGTCATTGGTCCAAGTGACGTCGTGGGAGGTGTAAGTAAATCCATGGGATGAACTTGAGATGCTCCGCATCAATGCCCTTTTGTTTTGCATGGTGATAAGTATGCCTCTCTCACTGAATGACATACAGGTCCTAGTGCTGCCTACATCCCCGATTCAACCAGAAGCTTCATTTTCTGCGAGCTTAATAACTCTAGAGATGTAACGCCGTATCATTTTTTTTCAATAAAGTGCGCTCAAGGGCATAAAAAAACGCTCCTACCGGTCCCAGAAAAAAAAACTCTTACCGGAGAATCTCACGACTCAGCCAAAAATTGTGTCTCCTTTCTGAACGACCCAAAAGCTTTGGTTACACGATTACTACCGGTTAACATTTCTAAGGCAACCCCACGAGACTTCGTTCCATCCCTGCGAGATCTGCCGTGCTTCTCCCCTTGCTCCCCGTACCGACTCCCGGTTCTTTTCTCCGGTTCCTCGGCGATGGTCGTCTGCAAATGCCGCAAGGTTACTTGATCATTTCTCCACCTATTCGGCGATGCCCGTGCGGTGTCCTGCGTGTTCTGTCTGTTGCGCGTCGACATGTGAGGGGGGATTTTGGATCTGGGCAGGGGAAGTACGCGGTGGCGGATTTGGCGTTCGCGTGGTCTGGATCTGAGAGGGCACTGCGAGCGCGGATTCGAAATTTTAGTTTGGGGTTCTTGGATTTACTGCTGGCGTGTTGAGATTTGTCAGTGCTGCCTGAATTTTGTGTTGACAGGGCGTGTGTGCTTGCTTTGGATTTTCAGGCGACGAGGGTTTATTGCTTCGTCCACCAGGTTCCGGTCTGCGGCGAGTGCATCTGCTTCCCAGAACATCAATTATGCGTGGTGAGCTTTCTGACTTGATCCCCTCATCCCAATTAGCTCAGAAAAAGGCATAGCGGTTAATATGTGCTTGCTCAATGTGCTCCATCCTGTTTAGTATCTATAGTGTATCACAAGTGTGTCTCTCATGTTAGCTGTTGTATATTGGCATTAAGCTTGCTGGACATGAGTGCCCTTTCAAATATATGGTCTTGCATATGCTTTGAAATGTGCTAGTAATATAGGTTTGTAATGTGAAATATACTTGTTTACAGTGTGATAGAAGATTGGATCACATGTGAGGACTGTTTAACAAATAGCTGCTGAGACAACATTTTTATGCCTGGTGCTGCTGCTAGAGTATCATATTTTTTACAATGCATTGTCTCTTAGTGCGCTCTCTTAGGAGATGGTAGATTTTTAGAGACAACTACCCCAATGTATTGTATCTTACATATGCTTAATATTGGAGTAGCCCCCACTTTTATTAAGATACTTGACTTTTATTGGATGATACTACAAGAATGATATATGTGTTGGTCTGTTGGATTCCGTGTAGAGATGGTTTCTTAGATATGTGATGGTTCCATCATCTCATCATTAATTATGAATTACATAGACAAAAATCTGATGTGTCATGCTAAGAGAGCCTACGTAGGGCATTGGGAGAGACCTGACTATAAGTTAGATCCATCTTTTTTTTCCTCTCTAGTTTGGTCCTATAACAGATTCACAGCCCTACAGTTTCCACCTCCACTTTCTTACTGAAACATTTGGAATTCATTATTGTTCCTTAGTCCTATTGCTGCACCTATGCTGTAAAATTTTGTGACACCATATATGTGCATGCTATGATCATATCATTTTCCTATTCTGTTTATTTTGCGTGAAGAGAAATTTAATAATCACATGTAAGTATATAACATTGCTATTGGCTTCATATCAGCTACTTCCATAACCAAACGTAAAAAAAATGCTTTATATTCTTACAATTCTGTTAAAGTAATCGTGTAACATTAATTTTACAAACTAATATCCTCCTTTTTACTTTCTGTAGGTAAAAAACTATGCTGAATGGGTTGTTAATTCTGATTATGACTGGCCACAACACTGCTCTTTGTGTAATTTGGTTCTAGAAGCTGCAAGCGAAGAAACTACACGATTGGGTTGCCTCCGTATGTATTGCTTCAAGTAGAATATTTGAATCCATTCGTCTCTTGGAGCCACCTTCACTAAATATAACACGATATATTTTGTCTTCTTGACATCTTTTAGATGTGATGCACACAAAATGCTTGATATCGCATGTCCAAAGTTTTCCGGCACAAACAGCACCAGCAGGATTTGTCTGCCCCTCATGTTCAATTCCTGTAAGCTAATCTCTGGCTTGATATGCTATTACTTTGAGGCTCCAACAGTTCTTTTAACCTTAACATGTGACATAGTTATTTCCTGACAGATATGGCCTCCTTCGAGTATTAAAGATACAGGCTCCCGCCTCCATGCTAAACTGAAGGAAGCAGTAGTCCAGGTTAGTCCTTCAAATCAGTTCCTTCTTGCAAGATCAAAACCACTAATTTTCCTTAAATGTTTTCCCTTTGTTTTTATTTGTGCGAATAAATTCTTCTTTGGTGCACTATTACACATTTACCTATGAACCACGACTCTTGCAGCTAAGTATATTTACTGCACTGTTTGACAAAGCTTGCACTTTGTAACATGTCGCAGACTGGTCTGGAGAAGAATGTATTTGGGAATCATTTTGTGACAATGCCTAAAGCTGATGCCCGCACACCCCCTGCATTTGCTTCAGACCCCCTTAAGCGTCTATCATATTCTGGTGAATCTACTGATGCAAACATGCTTAACTCTTCGAAAGATGCAACTTTATCATCAGCGGTACTCTCCCAGGGGGATACATATCCTGCTGGGATGTACTCTTCTGGGACTCTTAGTCATGTGGAACCAGAAATAGTTGAAATAGATGGTCCTAGTACCATAGCAACAAAGTTCCCAGAGCAGGAGCCCAATTTCATCAGAAGTCCAAGCCCGCACGGGGTAAGTCATGACATATCCTCGTGTATATAGTTAGTGTCTGTTTGTTTTCTGTTCACCTTAAGCAGAGTTAGTGATCCTATTCCTTCATTATGTAGCCTAGTGCCACGACAAGAAAAGGTGCTAACTATGTTGAGAGACAAAATTCAGAGATGTCTTATTATGCTGATGATGAAGATGCAAACCGCAAAAAGTACACTAAAAGGGGTAAGAATGCCATTATCAAAAATCTATTTTCTACTTCCGTCTTTATGTCAGGTCCTTCTTTTCTTGAGTTATACCGAGCTTTTGTCATAAGATTATTTGATTTTTTTTTCAATATTTGAGGTGACATTTCTGTCTCAAATTAGTTGCCAAACACTAGTCATGTTTCCAATCACCCACAAAATAATTACTATCTTATTGTATCTCAGTTTGATGTGTTAACCTCGTCTTCTACCACCCTTCTCTTACAATACACCTCTATTCCCAGGGCTGTGATACATCTAACATGAAATGTACATGTATATATATGCTGGAAATGCGTAAGACTATTTAGATTGGTTCATATATAACTAGTCAATTCTAGGTGGAACATTTATTTCAAAAGATGGTTGTGCTTGTTTCTTATGAAGCTTCAGTTTACAGGTACATACCGTCACAAATTTTTAAGGATGCTGCTACCTTTTTGGTCTAGTGCACTGCCAACATTACCAGTTACAGCACCCCCTAAAAAGGAAAATGATGCTCCAGAAGGCCGGTCACGACATCAGAGGACATCACGAATCGATCCCACAAAGATCTTACTTGCAATGGCAATCATGTAAGGTTTCTGCCATGCAATTGTTCTAGCCTCTGACTAATATTCTCCTGGAATGGATCTTAATTTCGTTAAGTAATGTTTAAAACGGATATTACGTGGCTGAAGTTTTATTACTGTATTATTGAATATGTAATATATTCAGAAGTAAATGATTATTTTGTGGTTTGAATATATAAGATGGCCAGCACTGTTAGTTTTCCCCTTTGATTCATCTGGATCTCTGTTTGAGTGGCCTCCTACCCATATTTCTAGCAGATTTGAGGGAAACAACCAGAAATTGGTACTCGCAGTGTTATGTTTTTAATTTGAGTTCTGTACAATCAGCAAGGTTGCTAGCTGTGCAATTTGTTTTTTCTTTTTCTTTAGAGATGTCGCACCATTTATTGTCAGAGTGTTCATCTAGTATGATATCCATTTCTATATTCTTGATTTTATGTGTATAAATAAATAGATATGTCTGTTCCTTCATTCTGTTAGCTTGATTTGTGACATAGCAAGCAGTTCTGTATGTCTTAGATGTGAGTCCTGTAAAGCTATAGTCTGTCTAATGAAAAACTTTAAGATGTGTTTCATTTACTTATTTTAATTTTGCCTTTTAGTTTGTGTTGGATTCTAAGATTTTATTATTCTTGATTTAATTAACCTGCATTAATGTGCTGTTAATGCAGGGCATGTATAGCAACGATGGGAATTCTCTACTACCGATTGTCACAGCGCAGTCTTTCTGAAAACTTTGCCGATGATGAGGCTCAGTAGTACAGTTGAAACTTCCAACTTGCAGTTTGTTTCTGGTACTGCCTTGCTGCCGATTCAAGGGTTTTTACCCTGCCTGTATTATTTTCCATTTCCCCCCTTTTTGGGCCTTTCAGGGTGGTTGTGGATGGGAAGGTGGAGGTAGTGATTATAGTTACATAAGAGTTATAGCAGACTGGTTTTATATGCTGATTCATCTGTTATCTTATACCAGACGGGAAATTGTTGAAGTTGTCTACTATTTTCTTATTCCTGTTGTCGCGCCTTCTGAATTGCTACAGGTGTTACTTTGATCGAGCCATTCTAAAACATCGCTGTGTTATTTCTCCATTATTTTTCACTTGTCATGACGATGCTGGGAAATTATAGGCGTCTTATGCACAACATGGCAGGATATCATGATATTCTTTTAGTTTGCAAACGCGGATGCTGATTAATTTCAGCAGGAATAAAAGTGCAACAATGTCAAAAATGCAATGTTGCCCGTAGCTACTTCCATAATTGCAATACATGTTGCATAGTAATTCATATATAGTTCACGGGTGTTATTTCTCCATGATCTGATTTCACTCATCGTTTGCATTTTCTTGTCGGTAGCTTACCAACCTGACCACTTGGTCTAATTTCACTCATTGAAACTATTTTTTTTTAGAAATGGCAGTTCATCGAACTAAATTGATATATGCCCTCTTGCTACTTTTGCACATTCATCCCTTATAGTTACATGTATCTGTTGGTGCTTGGCAAGAAGTCGTCTTTGTTAGCGACCTGCGTCCTCAAAGTGGGCCGGGCTGGATGGAAGGGCCCACCAGATGGGCTTGGGATGCTAACATGGAGAAGGGAACAACACACTACTAATAGGATTTTCTAAAAAAATGTACTAATAGGATGCGCACTCCTATTCGGCGCGTTAAGCGCCCGAACAGCTCCCTGGCGCCTGATGGAGACCTCTAGTGGGCCGGCCCAGAAAACCTTTGCTCTCAGCAAACCAGTCGATCGCTTCTTTCCGTTAGAAACTAAATAAAAGAGATGTGCGTGAGGTGGGACTCGAACTACGGAAGGGGATGAATGAACCACTACGCTATCCAACGACCTGAGTAGAAATGTTCGCTTGCCTTCTTTTATTATTTCAACCATTTGTTTTCTTATTTTTCTCTCTTTTTCCGTAACGATTTATTTCGCCTTTTTATTTCCTTTTTTGCTGGATACGTGCACTTTTCAAAAAAAAAATAAGGAAACTTTTTTAAGAAAAAGGGATGAAAGTTCTTTGGGTTTTTTAAGTTCATCAAAATTGAAGAAAGTTCATCGAATCTTAAAAAAAGTTCATCAATTATAAGAAAAGTTCATCAAATTTGAGAAAAGTTCGTCATAATTAGAAAAAGTTCACCGAATCTGAAAAAAAGTTCATCGCTTTTCAAAACAACTCAGTGGATTAGAAAAAAATCTTCGATTTTTTAAAAAACATTCATCGAATTTCGAAAAGGTTCATCAAATTTGAAATACTTTCATCGAAATTGAAAAAAAATTCATCTCATTTGAAAAATTTCATCGAATTTGGAAAAAGTTCATCGAATTTGAAAAAAGTTCACCATGTTTGAAAAAAAGTTCGTTAATTTTGAAAAAAGTTCATCGCATTTGAAAAAGTTCATTGAGTTTGAAAAAAGTTTATCGAATTTGAAAAAAAGTTCACCGTGTTTGAAAAAAGTTCATCAATTTTGAAAAAAAACACCGACTTGAAACGAGTTCACGAATTAAAGAAAAAGGAAAAAGAAACAGGAAAACAAACAAAGAAAAAGGGAAAAATAAAACGTACAAAGGACAAAAGGCATTTTCTGTACATAGAAACAAAGAACGGAAGGAAATATGCATGACCGAGCAAGTTGCCTAGTGGTTAGTGCAGTATCCATGGAGCGATGCGATTGCGTGTTCGAATCCCGCTCCACCCACCTGCACCTTTTTTTTATCCTTTGGAAAGGAGAGATGGGCCGGCCCGTTTGTCGCGAGTGAAGGGAGGGGGGTATGCGCCAGTTTGTGAAAAGACCTATATCGGGCGTTAAAGGCGCCGAATAGGATCTGGCTAATAGGATTGCCTCCCCTCAAAAAGAAAAAAAAACTAATAGAATTGTCTCAAAGAAAAACTACAAATAGAAGGAATTAGAACGGAACGACAAAGGAGAGATGGGCCGGCCCGTTTGTCG